AATAAACCATGGAATCATTTATTTTTGTAATTTTTTTTTGACAAAATTAAATTATATCATATGTTGGCCAATAGATCCCAATGGATCCCAATAGACCATTATCTATTAAGATCCATTGACCAACGATTTATTCATGCATACTGCGTCATTTGAATCCAATAGATTATTAATAGATCTGATCCATTGGATCATTTAGCTATTGAAGTCCAATGGATCTGATCCATTCCCAACCCTATTCTGAATTGCTAGCCAAGTTACCAGCTTCCATAATAAATGAAGTATGGATACATTTCACATCACAGAAGCGTAACCCATTATCTAAGAAAGAGGCCAACCAATTATAAAGTCATTTTTAAAACATGAAGCTATTAGATATCAGAAAAGATTAATGCGTCAGAGACGAACTCAAAGTTGGCTGAAATGCCTGATATCATCCAAAAAAAAACCATATATATGCATTACAGATAGTAATACTCAAACTGATAGTATCACCTATGATCATGAAGAAGAGAATAATCGTCAAGTTATAAATGAACTTAAAGTGTTTCACCAGCACCTGCTTGATTATAATAAGAGATTTTTTGAAAAATTCATGCAAGACATAGAAAGAGAATATAGAGAGCGGATTAGTATGAATAATAAATTGTGATATGAAAATGAGAATCTGAAGATGCAGTTGCAGAAGGCGGAAAAAAAGCTGGCATCTATGAAGTTAGATTCTTCTCAATAGTTGGGAGTATTTTTTTCCTTGTACTTTTGTAAAGTAAGATTCTGATCAAGATCATGAGGATCTATATAAATAACTGGTTCTCTCATCTTTCTATATAATCACGAAAAAAGAATGGCATTTCAGAGGCCTCATCCAAGGCAGAGAAGAATATGTGAAGAACATAAAGCTGAGTTGAAGGAGGAAAATTATCATCTTTATAGTGAATTGCAGATAGAGGTGGATCTTAATCAACAGAATGAAAGACAAATTAATCAACTGGAGCAAGATTATTTCCGGTGTGAACAAGAAATTCATGATCTCAATAAGGAGATAGAGCGACTTGAAAATGCTTCAAAAGAAGAGATAGTAGAGTTAAAATCTGAAATCTCTACCCTAAAAAGTCAGCTATATCAAGCTAGGAAAGATGTGCGAGATAAGGGAAAATATATTTCTAGTTTAGAAGAGCAGTTAGTAGAATCTGAGAAACAAGTTAAGAAATTGCGATGCTGGATCAGAAGCATCTCATCACGAAAAAATTCCTCTGAACGAGGGAATTCTCCAGACTTGTATAATTCAGATGATAATATGATACTATAGATGACTATGTGGATAATAGGGCAACGGCTAGAGATATTCTGATAGATCAAATAAAAAGGGCAATAAGGCAAATTCGCTGAAAAGAGAATAATTTGCATCAGAATTTAGTCCGTAAGCAATGAAGACATTATGATGCTGAAGCAGAAAGGGATAATGAAATTATACGAAGGCAACTTGCTAAAGGGGTGGAACAAAGGGCTATTGCTGACCTTTATCAGTTGCGGACCAGTGGCTGAAATCAGGTTAACAGAATGTTAGATAGGATGATAAGAAAGCAAAACTGTATACACTAGTCAAAATCATTTCATTCGGCACTAATACCATTCGGTTAACATTCAGCCAATTCTGTCATATGATTTGGCAAAATTCGGCTTAAGTTATAAAAATTGATAGTTATTTGTTACATTATATATAATTTAGCATTATTTTGGTACTAATACCATTTGGCAAACATTCAGCCGATTCGGTCATATGATTCAGCAAAATTCGGCTTAAGTTACAAAAATCGATAGTTATTTGTTACATTATTCATAATTTAGCATTATTATTATACTAAGACCTTGCGGCAAACATTTAAATGATTCAGTTTGGCAAAATTTCAGTTATTTTTTAAAATTCGAAATGAAAATTATAATAAATTGACTGTCGTTTGTTATATTATATATAATTCAGCATTATATTAATCAGGTTTTGGTTTA